GGAGGAGGAACATCCTCTGCAGTTGGACGCATGACGTCATGAGAGACCTAGCGCTGCGACGGAGTGGCAGGCAGGTGCATAACGTCACACGGTGCCAGAGCCCCTCTTGGAGATGAACCATCTCAGGTAAGCCTCGCAGTGCCCGGCAGTGGCATCCACAGGGCGTGGATTAGCCTTGCTAAGGCCAAAAAACAAGGGGCTGAACTGTTCTGCATTTCACACGAATCAGGGAGACAGAAAATGAGAAGGAATGGCGGGGGGGACACAGAGAGAGAGGCTGAAGCCCAGGTTCTGAAATGACACAGGGACCTTTGGGCAACAGGACCACGAACACTTGCATTTCAAGCTGTCTGCGTTGCTGCCATAGAAAACCCAGGTCTTCCCAAACCCGCAGCCAAGGTCTCTGTACCTGCAGCGCTAAGCGCAAGCACACCTGTATCATTTTCCCTGCAAAGGAGTAAGAAAATAGCTACAACCTTTCTTCGCAGTTTATTCATTTCCCCTTTTCTTCTCCCCTGACCCCCAGTTGAGTACACTAGGAAATCTGCCGTCTGGGTTCAGAGATGCTGGTCGAATCCATCCCTGCTGGTTTCCACTCACAAAGCAGTTTCTCTAGTCCAGAAACGAGCCGCCCATTGCCTCCCAACTAGTCTCCCGCAGTCTCTCCTAGTCGTAGCCGCACACCGGCCCTCACGCTGCTGCCAAAGTTCGCTCTCCAGCGAAGCTTTAATAGTCAGAGGCAGCGGAGTATGGGGACCGCATGAGTGAGCCACCTGGGAAGGTCATCCAGCCTTAGCGAGGCTGCGGGTGACTCAGCCCTGCTGACGTCGGGACCACAATTGCCCGAGAGACGCCCACATCGGTACCGGTACCACCTGGGCAAGCTGCTCCCAGACGCTCAACCCACAAAAAGTGGCGTGATACATTAACACATTAACTGCCACATGAGTTGTATTTAACTCATGCTGGCTTTGAGCCCGGGGCCACGTGAAGCGTATGTAACTCACACGACTCTACCTTGGGAGCCTTGTGGTGTGCAGGTCACTCTCGCTGCCATGCTGTGGCACATATATGACGTGATGGGTGGCCCCCTGGGCAAAACCCTGCAATTGGTTTGTGAAAAATCTTACTTGTTGATGTTCTCATTGTTACAATTAATACTGACAATTTAATTGCAACTCAAACACAGAAAACAATAAAAAAAACAACAAATTTTTCATTGAATTAGAAACATTCATTTTGTTTTCGAAGTTTTTATTCTACTTTTGTTATAAAACACCATGGCCCCGAGGAAAAAAAATTTTTTTTCTAGTGTGTTAATCAATGAATTAAGGTTTCAACCATTGCTTGGAGCTGCTAAGTTTTGGAGTAATTTATTAAGCAGTAATACACGGCCAATACAGGCAAAGACATACATGTTTCTAAAGACTCCTAGATTGGGATACACAGCCATGGTTGACAGCCTTGGACATAGCGTTTTGTTCCCTATCCCTGTATAGCTGCCGCTTTGTGTTAGTGACATTCCTTGCAGGTCTTCACTGCCCGGCTGTGTGCTCATTCATTGAGGGGATGATGTTCTGTTCATCTGGGCATCTTGGGTGCCCAGAAGAGCAGCTGGCACAGAGTAGTCCATAAATGTTTGTTGAATTGGAATGACCCTCCGAACAAACACAGAGAGTGGGACGTACTATTGCCACCAGCCAGCTAGACCCCTTCAATGTATCTTTTCAATTATATATATGTATGTATGTATGTATTTATTTATTTATTTATTTTCGAGACAGAGTCTCACTCTGTTGCTGGGCTAGAGTGCCGTGGCATCAGCCTAGCTCACAGCAACCTCAAACTCTTGGGCTCAAGTGATCCTCCTGCCTCAGCCTCCCGAGTAGCTGGGACTACAGGCAAGCGCCACCATGCCCGGCTAATTCTATGTATTTTTAGTTGGCCAATTAATTTCTTTCTATTTTTAGTAGAGGAGGGCTCTCACTCTTGCTGAGGCTGGCTTCAAACTCCTGACCTTGAGCCATCCACCCACCTCGGCCTCCCAGAGTGCTAGGATTACAGGTGTGAGCCACCTCTCCTGGCCACAATTCAATATATTCTTAAAAAGTCTACTGTGAGCCACACACTGGACTCATGCAAGAGTTGCAAAGAAGAGGAGAGCTAGTCCTTGTAGCCAGGTACTCGGTCAAGCAGGGAAGACATGAGACAGAAGAGACACTGGGGGCACGTGTCAGCATTGGTGGGAGAGCCTCAGAGGAAGAGATCGCTTCAACGTGGGAGGGTCTCGGTGTTTCCAGGAGGAAGCCATGCTTGAGCCACGTCCCAAAGAGTGACTGGGAGTTTGCCGGGTGGGCGAGGAGGGAAGGTTTTGGGGGAAGATGGAAGAACCATGTGCATCAGTAGAACAGCTTGAAACCACAGGGAGAGTTGGGGGAGCATGGCAGGAGGCTGGGAGGTGCAGGCCGTGGCAGGCGGGTTGGGCGCAGCCCTCGGGGAACTGGAACCTGCCGAAGGGTGAAGCAGGAGTGTAGCATGACACTGTCCGAAGTTTTAGAGACATCTCTGGTTGCGCTGTGGACAATGGATTATAAGGCATCACTGAATGGCCGGGCGTGGTGGCTCACACCTGTAATCCTAGCACTCTGGGAGGCCGAGGCGGGTGGATTGCTCAAGGTCAGGAGTTCGAGACCAGCCTGAGCAAGACCCTGCCTCTACTGTAAATAGAAAGTAATTAATTGGCCAACTAAAGATACATAGAAAGAATTAGCTGGGCGTGGTGGCGCATGCCTATAGTCCCAGCTACTCGGGAGGCTGAGGCAGGAGGGTCGCTTGAGCTCAGGAGCTCGAGGTTGCTGTGAGTTAGGTTGACGCCACAGCACTCACTCTAGCCTGGACAACAAAGCGAGACTCTATCTCAAAAAAAAAAAAAAAAAAAAAGGCATCACTGAAGATCGCAGAGCCACCTGGAGAAGGTGAGGGTATTGTGATGGTTCATGTAAGAGAAGGGAAGCACTGACAGGCAACCCCGTAGGGAAGGGAAGGAGGCCACAGGTGTGAACAAGATGCGCCTACAAGTAGAGAATAAAGTAGGACAGGCATCGGAAGCTTCTCCAGCTTCTCTCATAAAAAGGTTGGGGGCTGAAAGGTGAGTAAGAGGTATATTATACGGGTAATGTTTTTTTTTTTTAATTTTCCTCCTTGGAGCTGGAAAAAAAATGGAAAAGCAAAGTGGAAGGGCTGGGATTCAGGAGGCGACACGGGACACATGGCAGTGTCACTGGGGGACTGCAGCCAGCTCACAATTTCCGTCTATCATCTTGGGTGAAAAGACATTTCTAGCAGAAAAAAAATGATTTTGAAGCATGGGTGTGGAAATAAATGAGCACATGAAACCATGTTGTCCAAACCCCCAAGCCCAATGTCTTCCTTCAATAGCAGCTTTCGGGGCGACCCTGCCAGCGGCCTGCAGCCCCTCAAGGGTCTGTGCTCCATCACTGTGTGATTTGCAACGGGAGAGAAGCCCGCTTAGCTGAGAAATGCATCTGAGCCTCTGGCTCACAGGTGCTTAAGAGCACTGAGCAGATGTCTGTCTGCTGCACCGGAAGTCCGGGATGTATACTGGAAGGTACATATGCACCCATTCCCTGCTGCCAGTGTGCAGAGAATATTCCAGATACGCATCACAGGGCTTTGTGTATCTGCCTGGCTGATTTCTCTCCCACAGGACATGGAGCCCACGTTGGTGGCTGCTCAGAGATCTCTGCTACGAGCATCTGGAAGGACCTTACTGAGCTCATCTGCAAGTAAGACTGGCCCCAGCTAACCGAGGATTTCTGTGCAGCTGGCTGCACAGGACTTCTGGCTGCACAAGACTTCTGTTTGTTGGTGTTAATCCTGTATCCTGAGCTCTCTTCCCACCTGTCACCCTCTCACAGGTTCTGGGGCACTTACCTGTCACCTCTCAGGCGCCATCTCTACCCAGCCCACCCGTCCTACTAATAATGCCCTGGCACACCTACTGGCTTCCCGGCTGTCTTCGGATTCATTTCCAAGTTGACCGTCCTCAGTCCTGGATCCCACCCGCTCCCCCTTTGGGCGAATGGCTGATGTCTCGGTCTATGCAGGCTGCTGTAGCAAAACGCCAGAGTCGGTGGCTTGGAAACAACAGTAGTTTCTTTCTCACAGTTTGGAGGCTGGGAAGTCCAAGACCAGGGAACTGGCGAATTCAGTGTCTGCCTGTTTCCTGGTCCACTGGTGGCATCTTCTCCCCACGTCCTCACAAGATGGAAAGGAGAACTCTGGTCTCTACAGCTCCTTATACGGCACCAGTCCCATCTTGACGCTCCACCTTCGTGACCTAATGCCCCACGCTGTCCTCCTGAGCGAACAGCCTTCTCCTGGCACCAGGCACCTCCTGCGTTGCCCACTCCTGGGAGTGGCTGTCAGCTTGAGACCCCAACATTGTCCCTGGCATGACACCTGCCCAATGCCCTTGTCCAACCGGACCCTCCTGTGGCCAGCCTTCCTCACGTTCCTGCAGGCTGGGAGTCCAAGATGGAGGTGTCAGCAGGACTCAGGAGTGAGGCAGCTCTGCTTTTTTACACCCGCTAGCTGTGTTGCTGTCATCAGTCTACTTGACCTCTCTGAGCTATTTCTATAATCGGTAAAATTGGAATCATATTTCTAATTTACAGGACGTTGTAAGGACGAGATAATGCACACAAAATGTTCACCCAATGCGTGGTACGTAATAAACAATGCAAGGGATGATTGTTTGTAAAGTATCTGAGCTGTCTATTTTCAGGCCGTCCGCCAGAGGGCGCCAAACACCATCCTGAAACTTGAAAAAGCTGTTGGCTTTTTTCCCCCCAAACTCCTGCTCTTAAAAATCCTAAGCATTGATGTCTGATAAAAAGGACCCAGCAGACTTCCCCTTTGTTTGCCCCATCACCCTTGAGAAGTCTTACACCTAAAATTAAAACGCTCAACTTTGGCCGGGCGCGGTGGCTCACGCCTGTAATCCTAGCTCTCTGGGAGGCCGAGGCGGGCGGATTGCTCGAGGTCGGGAGTTCGAAACCAGCCTGAGCAAGAGCGAGACCCCGTCTCTACTATAAATAGAAAGAAACTAATTGGCCAACTAATATATATAGAAAAAATTAGCCGGGCATGGTGGCGCATGCCTGTAGTCCCAGCTACTTGGGAGGCTGAGACAGAAGGATCACTTGAGCCCAGGAGTTTGAGGTTGCTGTGAGCTAGGCTGACGCCACGGCACTCACTCTAGCCTAGGCAACAAAGCAAGACTCTGTCTCAAAAAAAAAAAACAAAAAAAATAAAAAATAAAAAAATAAAACGCTCAACTTCAAGACTGTTAGTTTAAATTAAAAGAATTCCTACACATGCATAGACAGTATAGCTTAGCAGTGCTGGTAGTCACCTTAAACCAATGGCAGGCACAGGACAGAGCCAAAGGGCCAGCCTGCCCCTGGAGCAGGCAGCAAGAGATGCATCCTTGTAGAGAATTTAAACACAATAATATAACCTACTAAACGTTCATTTTTTATAACACCATGTGCTAGGAATTCTAAATAGTATCAGACATAAAATACTGTTGTACGAAAAAAAAATCTTTTGCTGTTCAAAGTTCTAAATTATTTATGCAGGTACAATTGCATTTTAACAATGTATAGTTAAGCTTCGATTTGGTACATTTTCTTATCATTGATAATTGTATTCTTTCTAGGAGTTAATTCAGAGAATTCCCTGTTATACAGAAGCTGCCACCACGTGGACCCAGCCACATGCATTTTGTCCCTGTCTGCTCAGGAATGTCGCCGGGTTGGGGTTTGCTCCTTAAATCACAACTATCTCCAACTCTTAAGTTTAAATAGTAGATTCAAAATAAACCATGACACACTGTGAGTGTAACAATGAAGAAATAGACCTGAGTTCATTTTACTTTTGTGATAAAAATTTGTTTTCATTTGTGTTTGAAATTTCAAACAGTAAAACAGAGGGAGAGCTGTGAGATGAATAGTTTTTTTTATTGGCAAAGTGCAAATGTAGTTCATATGTGATGTGTTACTAAATTTGAATATAAAATTGAAATGTATTCTTTTTAAAAATTATATATGTTGAAACTATAGACTGAATCAAGAAACTGATGATTGCTACTGATGATTATTTGATTCTATTTGTAAAAATAATTTTGTGTATAGGGAGGTGAGGGGGTAGTGTTAAAAATTACCCACTGCAGGTGTCAGCTGTCCCAGGTCTACCTTGGTCTTAAATGCCAACTAGATTGCGTTCCACTTCTCTTTCTGGGAGGTGTCTGGCTGTTGACTGCCGTTCAAGAAAGGAAGGCAGGTGGCAGGAAGGCAGGAAACTGGGTCCTGCTTCAGAGATGCTGCTGGGAGAGCAGTCAGTGTTGTGCTTCCAGAAGAATCTCAGAGGCGGGTGAATTGGATGGACCACTCTTAGGGAGCATGCACGCTCCCTCCTGCCTCCTAATCTCTCCAACGCCAATCTCTTCCCACTCCCAGCCCTTCCCAGCCCTTTTATTTAAGGAGGCCCTATTTGGAAAGATCTCAGAGCACTTGACGAATACCAACTTTGGCCTGCACGCTGGAGGAAGCTCTGACCTGTGCATCCTAGGGGCAGGCTTGGGGAAGGGAAACCCTTTGAAAGCCTTGCTGTGAGAGTTTTCTGGCTGTGACCATACCCAGGGTACATGCATGCTATTAAAACCAGACTTAGGCTTCAAGAATGCGTGAACTACTCTCCCATGGAACTAGGTCGGTTATTATCTATTGAGGAACTGACAACTTTTCTAACCCTTCTCATTCACATTGTTGCACATTTTCCCACCTCCAAATGAGAAGGTGTCAGAAAAGAAGCAGCAATATTCTTTCCTGTGCACCGTGCCCAGCAGAGACAACGCCACCGGGATCTGAGTGCTGGTCTTCCTCATCTGGTTTTCCATTTCGAGGGGTTTGTAGTTCCCGGCTCCAGCCTTCAGTGACGAGTCAGGTACGAAGGAGATAGAGGCAACTTGCTGATGAGAACGCTAGACAGCTCAGTCTGATTTTTTTACTGGAAGGTGGAAATATGAATACCGGAATGTAACAACTTAGAGTTAGGGTGACCATGTCATTTATCATCCAAACTGGAACACTTTTGAGAGTGCGACAGGGCAGGAGGGGGGTGGCTAGGAATAAGTATTGGGACCATAGGCATAAACCAGGACTGTCCTGGGAAAACTGGGGTGTATGGTCACCCCAAGTGGAGTCCTCTTGTGGGATATGGCAGTGAGATGCACAGGCCTGCCTGGAGCTATTTGATAAGGATTCAGCGTTCTTCTTGTTCAAGGGAACGAATTTTCATGAGTCTGAAAGACGGAGAGAAGGCCAAGACAGTCCGATGCCCCCCGTTAGATTAGCCCAATTTGGTTTTGACAATTCTGTCAACCTGTTTTACATTTTCTAAGCGTGGGAAATGTGGATATAGATGTGGTTAGTAAAATTTGTATATGACCCAAGTAGCCTTCCCGACAGCTACAAGAACTTGTTCCAAAAAGTGAGGCACTGTCGGGGGTGGATTGAAGCTGTGCTCCAGGTGGGAACCTCGGACACGCTGTACTGAGGTCTTTGGAGTGTCCCCTGCCCCAGCAAGGGGTGTGCGCCACGCGGCGTCCCCAAGAGGCCGTTTCAGGGAAATCAAAGATGGTGAAGATGCAAAAAAAATCTGTCAAACTGTGAATTTGGGGCTGGGTCTTGGAAAAAGCAACAAAAAGTAAACTAAAATCCAGAAGAAAAGAATTTTCAGGGCAATGCAACTAATTCTGTATGATACAGTCGTGATGAACACATGTTAGCATACATTTGACAAAACTCATAGACTGTACGACACAAAGAGCGAACCCTAACGTGAACTGCAGACCTTAGTTTATAATAATGTCTTATTTTTTGTTTTTTTTAAATTTAATTTTTTCTTGATAGAGTATCTATGGAAATCTTATCTTTGAAGTATAAATTTATTTTTTTAATTAACAAATAATAATGGTACATATTCGTGGGGTACATGGTGATGTGACACACACAATGTGTGGTGATCCGATCAGGGTAATCAGCAGATCCATCATCTCAAACCTTTCTTGGCCAGGCGCGGTGGCTCACGCCTGTAACCCTAGCACTCTGGGAGGCCGAGGCGGGCGGATTGCTCAAGGTCAGGAGTTGGAAACCAGCCTGAGCAAGAGCAAGAGCCCGTCTCTACTAAAAATAGAAAGAAATTAATTGGCCAAGTTATATATATAGACAAAATTAGCCGGGCATGGTGGCGCATGCCTGTAGTCCCAGCTACTCGGGAGGCTGAGGCAGGAGGCTTGCTTGAGCCCAGGAGTTTGAGGTTGCTGTGAGCGAGGCTGACGCCACAGCACTGTAGCCAGGGCAACAGAGTGAGATCTGTCTCAAACAAAACAAAACAAAACAACAAAAAACGTTTATCCTTTCTTTGTGTTGGGATGATCAATATCCTCCTGGTAGCTATTGAAACTACCTGCACGTTGTTGCTAGTGCAGCCACCTGCGGTGGTAAAGACCGCGAGGGTGTGTCAGGACCTGTCCACCCATGTGACAGGTGTAGCACACTGACGCATTAATAAGATGTGAACAGCAGCAAACGGAGGAGGGCTGTACGTGGGAATTCTGCACTTTCCAATCAGCTTTTCTGTGACCCTAAGATTGCCACACTGAATTGCGAGTGGCGTGTGTGTGGGGGAACAGAGTCAGGCGCCGCCCAGACACCTCCCCGCCCTCCGCCCCGCCAGGCGCCGGGAATGCCAGCCAGGGCCCGCGCCTGGGGCTGCAGGGTCACGGAGATTTGCGCCCGCGTGTCCTCACGAAGCAGCTTCACCCCAGGCTCCGCGCCCGCCCCAGCTGTTACCCCCGGCTGTAGGGCCCGCCCCCACCCCATCCCCCCACCCCACCCCCCACCTTCGGCTCGGAGGGGCCTGGAGGTTCCAGCAGCAGCTGTCCTGGCTGTGCCCGCGTGATAGCCCCTCGGGGTGTTGGGGTCCCCTTCCCGAGTCACTCCCCGCCCCTCGCGCTTCCTCCCTGGGACCCCCTCCCCCCAAACGACCTGAACGCAAGTCTTCCTCCCAGGCTCTGCTTAGGGGGCCCAGGCTGAGCGCCCCAGGCGTGGGTGCGTGTAAACCTATGCAAATGTGCACGTTCACACCCAACAACGTTTAGGTGACAACAGTCCTTAACTCTTTCAGACTCTCATTTCATAAACATAACTAATCGTATCAGGCATATTAGGCAACTTTTAAAATAGGTCTACATGCACTGTCTCCGTGCAGTGTTGTAAAGAATGTACGTGTTCACATGGTCAAGAAGACATATGCCAAAGCCACACAGACATAGATTTTCTTTCTCTTTATTTATAAATTTAAATTTTTTTCTTTGGAAAATTTCCAGATACCTAACGATACCTACCTGGAAAATTTCCAGACACCTACTACTCCCTGATGACCTCAGTTAATACTTAGTTAAAGGTCTCAAGTCAATTAGAAATCGTAGAAAATGTATTTTAAGTGAACATTAAAGAAAATGTTATTAATATATGACTGTTATTATTAAATGTTTGTCAGAGAAATATGACACTTTAAAACTTACGTAGACAGTAAAGGTGGAGTGATTCTACAGGTTTACATGATTTGCAGTGTTTCGTATGAGGATATTAGTGGTCCTAGCTCTTATTAATTAAATACACATGTTTATATTTATAGTCTTAAATACTTGATGTTAGCAATGGTAACCTGTCTGACCATTAGAAGGAATTTCGATATTCTGTTTAGTTAACTAAATATCTGTTTAGTTAACCGAATATCGTTTCATTATCGCTTGTGGTGGGATAATAATTCCAAAGTCTTATATAAATTGAAATGTTACATTTATGTTTGTAATAAAATAGGATAAATCAAAGAGAAAATATATAGCTATCTGTTTAACCAAAATTTATAATTTATTAGGAGTATTAAGTGAACTTAAAAGTGTGGATTTGTATATCATTTTTACCAACTAATATTACAATTCCTTAAATTTTACTTGAAATTTTAACACAGAAGGGTTTTTTTGTAAAGCCATCATCTGACTAGTGATTGTTGGCAATTTGCATTTCTTTGTTCCTTGTAAATCATCAGTAGAAACCTTGGTATTAAAGTTGCATTTTTTCTTTTCCTGATACAAAAGCTTTTTGGGGAGAGACATAATTTAATATTAGAAAACAGAAATACTTTTTACACATATATTAATGACTTATTTATACATGGTTTTAAATTTTTTATTTATGCTCACTCAGGTAATATATACCTTTTTAAACCATTTAACCATTTTTTAAAAAATATAGATGTTAAGTATATTAACATTATTTTGAAAAATATATATTTTTTGATGAATGTTTCAATAATTGAATTGACTAAAAAAATGTTCTTTTGAAAATCTTTTCCAAGAAGGAAACTATTGGATGTTTCAGTTTCCAGAAGACTGATTTCTTTAAACTATTTTAAATACCCACACATGTGATTACAGTATATGAGGGCTGTCAGAAAGTATTCAGCCATGTAATATGTTCTCATTATATTAACACTGGCTGGAGACTTCCTGGACAGCCCTTGTATAATTTGCAGCTTGCCTCATTCAGGCAGATTTCACATTTTATTTCTCTTGGGCTGGAGAGTTTTTTCTAAAGGGCCACACATTGAAAACATTATGTGTTTTGGCATAATTTCTTAAACATTTTTGCACTTTGGGGAGTCTCAGTTTCTTTATCTTATGCCTTAATGTCCTTTGTAACTTCTAGAAGCCATCAAAACAGGAGCTGTATTGAATTTGAAAGACTTCCCAATCATGTTTGCTAATTCCCTTGGGAGACAGGCTATTCCCAACTATTTGCATTTCTGCACCATTTTGCTAGCTGTGCTAGGGATGTAATTAGTCCACACATCTGGTATCCCATGGATTGGCTAGTGTTAGAGGTTTCACAAATTAATACAAACTTTTTTTTCTTAATTGAAGAGCTCTTAATTAGTGTAAAAATAACTCTCAAAATAAAATAAAAATGCTGCTCAGGACCAGCATTTGTAATATTATAACTTGTACTTTCACTAAAGGTGGGCTTCAGCTGGGGAGGTGAGAATTCACAGTGGGGCCCATCTGTACGAGAGCTATTTGAGAAAGGGGGGGTGTTGGATGAGTCTGATTTCCTGACACGATCACAGGGGGAGAGGTGGGGCAATTCCCTTCCAGCAGCATGGAGAAGGGCCTGGAGGTAGCTGTAGGTGGGACAGAGGTTCCTGATGTGACTTAAGGCAAACACTGAACATCAGGCATTTTCACACCCTCAGACTTAACAGCCTCCTGACAATGTATTATTTTGATCATGCCAACTTATTCCTGTGAATGCCATGGCAAATTTGGGCTAACTAGTACACTAGTTCCATTTGTCCAGTTAGTTTTAGGAATCTTTTTCACAATTCATGACATATAAAACTCAAGACTTTCTTTGGTAAAAACTTGTGTTAGAACTAGAACTACCTATCCATAATGTAAACATATACAAAGAGATTGGAAAATTCAGCTCCTCGGGCTAAGACACATCTCAGTTGTTCAATATCCATAGAGAGCTAGTGGTTACCATATTGGCATTGAAGGGGTGTGTGTCATGGTCTATTAAAAAAAGGAAGAATTGAAAATAACAGTATCTATCACATTTCACATTGTATACAAAGCTTCCCTTAATAGTGTTCGGAAAGAAGAAATGTGAAGCTGGGGAGGTGTGAGTAAGAGTTGCGAGCAGGCTGAGGTCGCTTCACTACTTCACTGGACACTGACTCTGAGTTAGGGTCAATGACAATAAAATAAACCCCAACAGTAATCACTGAATTAGCATTGTTGGCATTCCCAGCTAGTTAGTTTTCCTACTTCTTAATTAGGCCTTTATTTTAGATGTGTCTCTGTATTTTAATTATATCCAATTATATGTAATTGCATATTCTTAGTTCATTTCATCGTGGCTATGAGCAGGAAAGCACTTTGCCAAAAGAGTGTGTTGACTTTCCAAGTGTTCTCTTTACTCTTCTTTCTAGCTTCCAGTGTGTACAGAAGAAATTAAATTCATACATACATGTTTCCCACTCTCAACAGGGTCCCTGTCATGCAAAATCTTGGGCACTGCTCCTATTGAGACACGGGGTCTATGTTGTCTTGAAATTGGGTGGGCTTTTGTGACTGTTTAGATCAAGAGAGCATGGTTATGTGGTATCTGAGTTTAAGTAATGAACGGCGATGTAGGTTCCACTGTGCTCTCAGGAATACTCAACTCACCCTTGACACCTTGGTCTGCCTTGTGTGCAGCCTACCTGCCCTGAGGCCACCGCACTAGCAGGACTACCAAACCAGCTATGACTCTTGAGGGCAAGGGCCACGTGTTAAATCTATTGTTTTTCATTCCCCACAGTGCTAGTGGCCAGGTAGGCACTTAATATAAGCTAGTTGACTAATTGGTAGAATAACATCTAGATGATTATATATCAATGCCATTTGTTATCTCAACAGAGTCACAGAGTGATTATGTCTGTAAGGTGTTGAGCGTTTTGTATGTATTATAAATACCCTCATCTTCTTTGGATTATTAAAATCCTCTGAGACCCCTATGGCCAGGCAGTTTGGACAATAATGTGTTTGACTACAGCTTCCCTGAATTACTTTAATAGAATGGAGGCCCATTCCATCGCCATTGAACTCCACTGCCATCTACTGTTCACATAGTGAAGTAACATATTGTGCTCTCCAACACTTCCCATACTCTATTCTTTACTATTGAATTTTTGGTTTCCTCAGATCTCAAGGGCTTTCCACGCTTTGAGCTTCAACCCAATAAATGTACTTTTCTCCGTTATAATGAAACTTTATAATAGTTTTCATTATAGCAATCCAGCATGATATTGACAGTTTTCTATCAAGGGCAAAAAGAGTTTATGGCTTTATGGAATAGTAAACATGTCTTACTTAATGACACCATGGTCTTTTCATAAGCTATCTCCGCCTCCCAGAAACTAAAAGAAAAAGGTAATAGAATTACCAAAGAATTTCTCCCCACCTCTAGCAGATATCCCTAAATTGGACATCTAATCTTGGCCACACTCTATTCAGAGTGTAAACCTTACTCATCCTTCAAGGTCCTTCCTTCAAAGGATGCCTTCTCCTTTAAGAGATAACTTTCCCCGATTCTTCACTCTGGAATTAAAGCCCCCTTCCACAATTGGTAGTTGTCATAATGAACCATGTAAGGGAAGAAAAAGATAAAAATTCCAGTTCAAAAAGATTGCTTTATAAATCATTTCCCTCATCCTCCCTTCTTTGTTGGTTCCTGTTTTTCTTTTGCAGACAAATA